AAAAAAAATTGATGATAAAATACTTATTTAATGGCTAAATCATTGTTAAAAGAAGAGATGAATCATAAGTCTGGCATTACTCCAACTAGCAATTAATGCTCAAAGAAATAGTTTTATTGACTATTTTAAGTGGATTTCAAGAAAAAAAAAGAAAAACAAAAAGAAATTTCTCAATTCTAATATCGATTTTTCACATTTACCTTTGGTGTTTCAACTAAAAACTCATCTGCTTCAGATTCAGTTGTTTAATCGTTGGTTAAAAAAAAACAAAAAAAAAAAAAAAATCGCAGAACCATTGGATAGTAGCTGATGAGTCGGTGGTGAAGGCCGAAGAAATGCTTTATCTGAAGTTTCTCTTTCTTAGAAACCTGCTATTGAAGGTTGCCGGTTACTCTTTAAAAGTAATGTGACGTGGCTCAATAAATAAGCAGGTGTTGGTTGGAGAGTACAGGAGGCGATTGCCCCTAGCATTGCTCTTTCTCTTTTAAAAAAAAATTTTTACATTTCAGTTAAAAAATCTATTTAAGTATCAACATTACTAATTAATTAATTTTTTAATAAAAAAATTAAAAATTAATATTTTTAAATAAAAATATTAAAAATTGATTTTTTTAAATTTAAAAAATTAAAAATTAATATTTTTATTTAAAAATGGGCAAAACTAAAATTTTTAAATAAAAAAATACAAAATTTACATAGTTAGTTATATTTTTTTGGTGAGATCTTTTTGTTAGATTATTTAAATTCTTAATTACCACCTGCTAAGCAACCATTTCCAAGCTAAAGCTAAATTAATGGTAACTTATCAAGAAAATCCAGAAATAGTCTGGAGTCCTAGTATTAAAGAATAGGCAATGAGTAAGAAGTTAAAAACGCTTCTGTAGAATGATTTATGAATAGTTTTGCCTTTGCTGGGGAGCTGCATGGGAGCTGCATCCGCTGACGAAATATAAAGAAAGTTCATTTACCAAAACTTGAAGTAGTACACGGCAAATAATGAGAGCTTTCATATTTTTACTAATTAAGGATACATTTATTTTTCTTTACTTAAGTATGTAAATTTTCACAAGTTCCTAATTTGATAAAGGATTTGTCTATCCTATAGGGCACAAGTTAATAATACAATAAATATATATTTTTTATTTAATTTACATTAAAATTTGTAAAAATTAACATTCATTTTAACATCATTGACACATAAATGATTGTAATGAGTTAATTGATTAAATTAAACTCAATATTTACACTTTTTATGTAAATTAATTATAAAAATGTGCATTAATTATACCCTTAACTTGTGTTTTTAGAATACAAATTAGAAAAAGCTTTTGATACATTAAAAAAAATTAATTAAGTTTCCAGGTTCATTTATACATAATGATTCTACAAAGCTTTAAAAAGAATCTCTGTTCTGTTGTGTTTGAGAGACACTAATTTGATAAGTTCTTGTGGTTTTTCCTTAAAACTTTCTACATTTTTGGTAAATAGCTTGAAGAATGCTACTTGTTTAATTTTAGGCTTTTTAGCTGATATGTCTTTTGGTTCATTTATTGTCTATTGAATAAGGTTATTACAACCATTATTTGAAATTATAATTCTTGGAGTGTATGCCAAAATTTCTACTCAGATATTCACTATTGTTTCAAAATCTCAATTGAGGTTGAGTATTGTCTATAAAAAAACTAATTTTTTTCAAAATTCATGATCTTGGTTTCCAAAGTTTGTTTCCTTTTGCTTTCCTAATCTCACTCACCCCAGAAGAAGACCACAGTAGAATTAGAACCAGAAGCACCATTGCCACTAGCACTACCCAATCTTGTAAGGGAGGGAAAGGATGACTAGATTGAGAAAATTTACATCTTTGAATAGTAAGAAAAAAAAGTTTATATCCTTAATTAGAAGAAGTATAAAAGTTAATGTCCTCTTGTATACTATTTCTTCAAAAACTAACGAACAGACGAGAATGCCAATGGTTGTGAAGCCTTACTTAAAAAAGAAATAAGTTCTGATAAAAAAATTGAATTAAATGCATATAACAAAATGCTCGATACCCGGAATCCCTAAATCAAAGAAGCTTCTGACATTGACTTTAATCTCTGTTCCTAATGGGTTACACCATCTCGTGCTTGGTAGTCTCAGCATTTCTATGCCAATCCTGGGCGGTGGCGACTGGTTCTGGGCTCGATCTTGATTCTCTGACTCGTGAATTGCTGGAATCTGCAAGAAAACCAGAGTTCTTTCAATGGGTGAGAGGGGTTAGGAGGAGAATCCACGAGTACCCAGAACTGGGATTTGAAGAGGACAAGACAAGTCAACTCATCAGGACCGAATTAGACTCGCTTGGAATCACCTACAAGTACCCTGTAGCTGAAACAGGGGTGGTTGCCTCAATTGGGTCAGCTTCTAAACCTGTCTTCTCCCTCAGAGCAGACATGGATGCCCTCCCTATTCAGGTTGTCTGTCTTTAGATTTTTTTATGCATGCGGATTACAACCATCATTAGTACAAAAATATAATAAAGCAGGCATACTTTCTTCATGAATTAGTACAAAATTCATCCAATTTTATCTTTTGGGTATTCAATTGCACTTAAATATTGTGTTTTAGGAATTAGTGGAGTGGGAGCACAAGAGCAAGATTGATAACAAAATGCATGCCTGCGGCCATGACTCTCACGTAGCAATGCTACTTGGAGCAGCCAAGCTACTTCAGGATAGAAGGGATAGTCTCAAGGGAACAGTGAAGTTAGTTTTTCAGCCTGGAGAAGAGGGTTATGCTGGTGCTTACCATATGTTACAAGATAGTGTTATGGATGATATCAGTGCCATCTTTGCATTACATGTTTTACCAGATGTACCATCTGGTGTAATTTCTTCACGACCTGGTCCGATGCTTGCCGGGGCAGGAGTGTTTTCAGCCACCATACATGGAAGAGGCGGACATGCAGCTAAACCCCATTTGAATATTGACCCCATTGTGGCAGCATCCTCTGCAGTTGTATCTCTCCAACAGATTGTCTCCCGGGAGACAAATCCCCTCGAGTCCACAGTAATTTCTTGTAGTCCCTTTTTCAATTTTTTTCTAAATGATATTTCTTAGTATGACCTTTGTCTAAAATACCATGGTTATATATCTGATTTGATATAACAAAACGAACATTAGCAACTCTATGATGATCATAGAGATCCCGTAATTGGTAAGCATCCAAGTTGTTGATGAAGCGTTTGAATTGTTACTGACTCAATTACAAATGTTATATTTGATGTTACGGTGATATGTAGAAGCAAGAATCTACTCAATTTTCAGTGATTGTTGTTGCAGGTTGTGACCGTGGGCTATATTGAGGGAGGTAAAGCTAAAGGAGGAAATGTGATTCCAGACACTGTCAAATTTGAGGGGACTTTCAGGAGCTTAAGCAGTCAAGGTCTTTTGTACCTTAAACAAAGGATTAAAGAGGTAATAGAAATGCAAGCCTCAGTCCATCGATGCAACGCAACCGTGGATTTCATGGAAGAGGCATCACCGCTTTATCCAGTAACAATTAATGACGAGGCACTGTATCAATATGCAAAGAAGGTTTCTGAGGCCTTGGTTGGAAAAACTAATGTGGAGATCTTTCCGGTGATCATGGGGTCAGAAGACTTCAGCTTTTACTCACAGAAGATTCCGGCTGCAATGTTTGGACTTGGTATAAAGAACGAGACGGCAAAATCTGATAAGGCTCTGCATACCCCATACTTTGTTGTTGATGAAGAAGCTCTTCCAATTGGAGCAGCTCTTCATGCTGCTGTTGCTATTTCATATTTGGGCAGTCACAGTCATGCTGTTTCGTAGAAACAAAGGTAGAGATAAAGATCATGGTTTAGCTTCTGTGATATATATCTATGCCTTAGAATCAAACTTGCTCTAAGAAGCTGTCAACCATGGGCCGTGTTCCTGAGACTACTGAGAACATAAATTAGGCCATAAATAAATTTAATAAAATAAATAAATGGTTTGTTGACTGTCAATTTTCAAGGTTCTTATTCGTAATTGTTCATATCTATTTGCGAGCATTATTGTTAGTATTATTTGTTCTAGGAATAGCTTTTAGGCCAAACTGTTTATTTGCACATTGGATTTTATTGTTTTATTGTTTTTAACTATCAATAACACGTAGAATTTTTATTTTCAATTAACATCTCTTAAGTTTTAAAATTTATAAAAAAAATTTAAAAATTAATGACTAAACTTTTTATTGGCAACCTAACTTGGAAGTGACTTAATCATTAATTTTGAGTTTTTTTTAATGAGTTTTTAATTATAAAAGTTGTTAACTAAAAAATAATAATTATAAAAGATATTAACCGCGAAAACAATAATGTTTAGAATTCAAATAAAGGGTTTGAACTAACTTTTTTCACATTTGATCTAAGTCTAATTCGATATTATGGCATGCTGTGTAATCTTTACTTCTATTTATTCATGAAATTTGTCTTTCAAGGCTGTTCATGTTTATTATCTAGATCCATGGCCAAGTGTTATCTTGACCCATAAAAAAAATTAAAAAAAAATTAAAAACAAAAAAACAAGTGTTATCTTATAAGTTAGATCTAAGTTCAAGTCTTAGTAGTAGCACACATTAATATTTTTAATTGTACCAAGTAAATGGACGGTGCAACTTAAAGGTGATGTAAAAATACTCTAATCATTAACACCAAAAACAATAAACTGATCTAAAAATACTCTGATTATTAAAATTAAAGACGATCAATTCCTTCAGGCACACTTAAAAAATAATCATTATCTAGTAAATCTTAAGTTTGCATCCCTAATTAATGTCTTTAGGGTCTGAGTTCAAGATTTAAAGCAGCACAGGACTTATAACAACTATACTCATTTGATGGTCAACTTCTTTTCTTCTTGTCATTTAGAAATGAGTTTGTTGTTTTACATTTTAATCTGTATCAAATTGTAAAATATAAATTTTTAAATGAGGAAAAAGTCCCCAATATTACAGAGCTTGCTTCTCATTTAATAATACATATTTTATAATTAGATGCAAACTAAACTATAAAATAATTTTTCGTATGTAAATTATAATACATGTTCACTTTTTTTTGGGAGAGAGAGAAGTGACCTGGGCCATGTTGAAAGCTCCAAACAACGGATTTGACATGGCCTCAGCCCATTTTCACTAGGAGTCCTCCTCGGGCTACCTTTCCGCCCGAAATAAAATGGCCCACAGAGAGATTGAACGCAGAAGAAACGAGAAACAGAAAGAATGGTGCTCTGGTCATACCCGCCGACGCCGAGGCAACTGGCGGTGACAATCGGCTGCGTCGTCACTGGCGCTTCACTTATTGCCACCGGGGCTTACCTTTCCCTGGCCAATATTGCTCCCCAACAAGCTCGTGCTAAGGCCCGTAGCCAGTATATCAAAAACCGCTTGAGAAAGATGCTAGACGACTGATCAATACAAAACCTAAGGTACCCTTGAAATTTACTTCCAATTATCAATTTCTTAAAAATAAATTATTGAGATTATTTCTCTGGTTAGTTCAATTATAAATTTTGAATTATTTCTCTAGTGGGAATTGAGATTTGGTGCTTTTTCTTTTTCTTTTTTTTTTTTTTTAAATATGATTGTTAAGATTTATGGTTCTCCATTTTTCATACAAACTGTAAATGATATTAGGAGTTTCTGCAAATAATTTGGTGTTTCGTGTTTTTCTCATATAAGATTTATGTCTCTGATGATTGATAATTCAGTTCTTGGAGATATATTTAGTGTTCAATTTTACTACTTTGAGTTTTCTTCCATAGTGATCGTAATTTGCATGGATAAAAATGCAAGCTTGAAGTAAAAGAAACGACCCAGATTGAAATTTTACTTTGTTTCTTTGATGAATATCTTGGATTCAATTGGGCAGATGCTAAACCCCACAAGAACTTTGAATGGGTTATTGATAATGGGTTACTGATTTTCCCTTGGTTCCCAAATTCAAGAATAGCACAATGACACGTTGAGAAAAGTGAACATCAGGACTACAGGATTTCTTGTGAAATTGTTTGAGTACCCCTTAATGAACCTTCGTTGCATGTTGATTCATTAAGTGTGTTTTAGTCTATTCATTACAATGGCTGGCATTTTAATTGGTAGGACGTCTTGATTTTTCTTCATTCCTAATTTTTTATAGCATTATGCATATTGATAAAATGGTTATTCTTTTCACTTTTGCAGGAATTGGATTGTGAAATTTTAACAATGTGGGGATACAGGATGCTAACTGGAATGGTGGAGTTGGAAAAGGTTTTCCTAATGTTAGGCTTGAATATATTGGCATTTTCTATTGCAAAGACATTTTGGTGTCTATTTTAGTGGAGAAAAATGTTGTTCTTAGCATTCTTGCAGCTAGGTAGTATCTGAATGGTCTTAGTGTTGCTGCCATGCAATGCCATACTTGTGGCCGGCACCAGACCTCTAATTGTTATGAAGTTAAGGTTTGCTTATTGGTTTTATTACATCAGGATGAAATAAATGATATCTGGAACTTCAACCTTATCACTTCCTTGTTTACCATTTCATTTGCTTACATATATATGTTTGAGAGTTTGAGAGAAAATTGAGAGAAATTGACTTGCTGAACTGCATATTTCTGTCTATCAAAATGTCCGATTTTAAAAAAAGAGGAACCAAAATAGTCCATCTGTTTTATATTGATAATAGATTATATAATAGTTAGTCTGCACCTTCTCGAATGGTAGATAGTCATCACCTTCTTGAATTCTTGGCCATGTAGCCCAAATTTTGAATATGAGATCTCTAATTTAAAGATTAAGCAAAGATGGCAGAAAGATACTAACCCTCTTTTCTCTTTCAGTAATACAAGGTCGGATAATCAAGGGAACAAGAAAAAGGTTTTCACAAACCAACGAACATTCTTTCTAATGAACAAAAACTGCAGACCCGTTGAAGGGGTTATAGATTTTTTGTATACAGATAAAACTGGTTTGATCAAATACACATTTCTACAGGCTCTACAAAGAAATGCATTTCTAGTAATAGAGGAGAGTTATGTCACTAAACGAACACTGCAGTTTCAACTCAAGTCTCTCACCCCTAGGATAAACAGCACACGAAAAAATTAAGAAGCAACAAGAGACTTGCCTTCATCTAAATAATCTTTTCGTTTAGGCACTACAAGTGCCTAAATCTTCTGTGCATCCAGCATTCACTATTGTAAGTGAAGTTGTTGCCAGAGCATTGTGAATGGAACATTGATGACTTAAAGAGAATTGCTACCATCTTGATTTTCTAACATTATGGCCCTCACCTCTGGAATCAGCTAACCTTGATTTCGAAAGGCTACCTGGCACCATAGGAGGTCTGTCTTGAGCAGCATACCCGTAGTCTCTTGGAGGCCTTGTTGGACTAGCAGAAAATCTAGAAGAACCTAACTTAGAGCCAGACAGCAGGTGCTCCTTCAGACCCTTCACTGATTTATATCCCTGCAGTTCATCCAAGCAGCCATTTTCTTGTGCTTGCCTCTCTAGATTGGTCAATCTAGTCCAATCTAATTCATCACCTGAATTCTGCAGTTTTTGACTTTGCATACCCCAATCAACTGCGTCAGATATACTCCTCTGCAGAGAAGTTTTTCTCCTTGGTAATCTGATGCTGGAGGTAGACTTCCTCCCTTTGATCTCACCTTCATCAAATCCTGAATCATGAGCAGCACCAAGAGGATAAGCCCACTTCTGGTTCTTATTGTCGTTATCCATATTTAACTCTATAGAGTGAAGATCACTATCAGCTGAGTCTTCTTCACATTCTGCTGCATCTTCAACTTCTCCATTCTCTTCATTTTCCTCATTACCAAAATGGGTTCTGTCCAAATAAGCAGCAATTTCCTCACTGCTCGGTTCATTTGTAGAACGATACTCTTTTCCTTTGAGTCTTTTGGAAGCTAGAAAAGCTTCAAGTTGGCTCCTTAATGTATCAATGCCTGCATTTTTCTCCTCAAGCTGATATTTGGCATCTGAGAGTTTCATTTGAACTCCCTCTTCTCGCAGTATGTCAGCTACTTGTATCATCTCTCTTTCCTTTTCAACCTCTTCACGAACTTTTGCAGACTCTTTCTTCAGTTCTGCTTCAGTTTTATCTTCATTGATACTCCTAGCCAGTTCATTACATACTTGCTCAAATAGCACCCTTGCTCTTTTCTCACCCTCAAGCTCTTTGACTGCCTTCAGAAGAAATGCTTTTGTCTCTGCTAGTTCTTTCCCAAGCTTCTTGTTTAAGCTTTCAAACCGTCTTCTCAGCTTTCTTTCTACATCAAGATCAGCTGCAATGGATTCAATAGCAGCCTCAACCACTTTTTGCTCTTTGTTTTTCCATGCTGACTTTTCTTCAGCAAAGCGCTTCATCAGATAGTTGATATCATTTTGTTCTGAGCGCTGTTCTTGGATAAGCTGATTGACTTGCAGGCGAGCTCTCTCAAGCTCAGCATGCAAGGCTGAGATAAGGGACATGCTTGATGAAGGCCGATCTTCATGACCCCACATACGATTAAGAATTTTAAGTAGCTCTTTTGAGGTTGTCAAGGCATTACTAGCATCCTTCAGTCGAGTTTTAACACCAACAGTTGATCCAGTAGGAGCCTGGGCAAGAGACCTAGTCTCAATCTACATAATAAAGAAAATCATTAAACCTCCATCAAGGTTGAAGTGCACTTATTCCCATTCTTGCCATTTAGCCCTAAGCACAACTTGAGACAACAAATAGCAATCACATCCTTAAACCTGAAGGTGTAAAACCTGATTAAGCAATCACTGAGCCTCCTTTTACTACTAAGAAGGTTCAACAAGACAACATTAGGTTTAAGCTACTTCACACTAAGCTAGTGAGTTTGACTTCTTCATATGCAACATTTAGAAGCATGATAAAATTCCTGATACCTTGACATTTTCAAAGATATTTAATGTGTTCTCTTGGCTTCATGTAATTCTTTGTATGCAAAAGTCAAAAAGTGTTTAAAACTATGGAATTAAAAAGGGCTTTTCCACAGAAAACTAGTGAAACTGATCAGGGTCATCATAAACTGAACAGGACATTAAAAGATGTCATTTACAACGTCTATTCAATTCTTACAGTTGTAGGAGTAAGGAATACAGAATTCAAATTAATATCTCACACCAAATAGAAACCTAAACTTGGTTTACCTCCATCAAACTGGCATTGCTAACAGAATCAAATACTCCAACATTATTGTCTGTAAGCCTAGGCCTGTGGGAAATGGACAAAGCTCCTCTATGGCGACTACCAGTTCCAGATCGATCCATTCTCTGTAGAAGAGTAAAGACAGTGTGGTATCATTTAACCAGAGAAGTATAATATTAAAAGCAATAGTTAGGTTTAGTTATATCTCACTGACAACAGAAACATGTAAAACTTAGTTCATCCTCAAAAAGCAACTCAACAGGAAAACCAAATTTTCTGAATTTCAATTTCATCGAAGAAGAAAATATGCATTATTGGATTTCAGGGATTCATACTCAAAATCAAACTAAATTGTATACGACCTAATTTGGCACCACAGTCCACAAACATCTCTTTCCAAAACTATCCAGCAATCACAAATTAAATCTCATTTATGAAAGCTACTGATTTTGATTACCACCAGATAACTTTCAAAATACATCACTTTACTAATGCTTGAATTTAAGTAGTTGCCAACTAACTGCAAGCAAACATACACAACACTCCCACTGACTGAACTAAACCTAGCACAACCATTTTTTATTTCTTGAAAGTTAAATCAATAAATTAGCAGTAACCATCTCCTTGCAAATTACATCATAATAGCAATGGCTTAATGAAAAAAGCGCCATACATTAGAATAATGTCAATATCACTCTCTTCTTAGCAGCACAATGACAATTTTTTTTTCCCGCTTAAGAATTTCTTAGAGTACCATAAATTCAAAAAAATGAAACATAAAACAGAACTCACCTCAGAGACAGGACTATAAGAGGGATCAGACAGGTGAGGAGGCAAAGAACCAGAATGCACAGATCTGGCAATCCTCTCTCTCCCTCCTCTCCCTCCTCTCCCCTCCTTCCTCTCCTTCCTCACCTTCCTCTCCTCACTTGCTTGCCTAATTCCTGGGGAAGGAATTTCATTCATCTCCCACAACGTTGCTGCCAGCTTCCTTGCCGAAACTGGCTGCTGCTGCTGCTGCTGCTGCACTTTTACTTTGCTTCCATTCCCCGATGCTGCGTACTTGGGGGACTCCAAGGCCCGCAATGCCGACGCAGATGATGGTGATCGCATCATCAGCCTCCACGTCGGCAAAGGAGTAGTGGATCCACCCCGTTTGCGGCCAACTAGAATCGCTTTCTTGAATCTGTAGTTCTGAATCATCGATGATGAAGATGACGGCGGTGAGGAGCACACTCGTTTTCTGATTTTGCCAGGCAGCAGATTTTCCATTACCGTGTCTCGATTTTGTCTTGACATGATCAATTATCACCAAACCAGCTCTCTTTTAACTGTTCAACTCCTGATCTTGTCACAGCCTCTGTTTATTGCCCTAAAATTTTTCTAATTTTTCTTTTCCCAAAATCAGATTTTTCTTCACTGTTCAGGAAAAAGGCGAATTAAACATTACTCGAAAGAAAAATTGAACAAATGAAATACTACAAGGGCAAAAAAAAAAAAAAAACGGGAGATACTTCACATGCTCTGTTCGGTAACAGAGAAAATCACAATAAAACAAATTATTTCTTCTGCTGATTGATAAAATTTCAATATTTTGTCTCACATCCTCATCTTTGCCTCCGGCGTTTTCATTTACTAGCATGCTCTGCTCAAAATTTCGTGTTTATTTAGATCTACCGATTTCTATGAAGAAAAAGGAAAGTGAAAGCCTTTATACACTCCGTTTGGATCCTAAGAAAATGTAGGAAAATGAATCCAAACTTTCCAAACGCCACATTTCAGAAAAAAAGGGGGAAAAGAATCGCAAAGATACCAAAACTGCAGCAACTGAAAATTTGCACAAATTTTTTTTTTTTTAAATCACGCTCATTTCTTCTTCCAAATCAAAATTACCGAAAACGAAAATTAAATTATCAGATAAATTTCGAAACGTACCGTCAGGTTTATGGCAGTCCAACTTGGCTGAATCGGAATCGACCTGTTTGGCAGGTGAGAAAATAAAGCGGAAAAGGGAAGGAAAGCTGGAGAAATTTTGAGCAGAGAACCCTAAAAAAAAGGGGAGAGTCGAAAGAGAGGAAGGTTTTGATGATGGGCAGCACTAACTCACTTGGTTTTTTTAGATCGGTACAGACTGTGTATGCCCGTACAATGTACATTCTGCGCGTAAAGTAGGGGAAGGAGGAGGAGGAAGGATCAGGTGCACTCAAAATCATTTGGAAAGAACACTTGGCGTTTAATTATAGGTTTGGATTTTTTTGTGATATTTTCGTTGACTTTTACTTGGAGGTGTGGGTTTTTGGGGGTGGGGAGTAGAGTAGGAGAATGGGACGTGGTGTAAGGGATTAGCCGCCAATTTGTAACAGAAGGAATGTCAGGTTAATTTTGGATTTGGGTTTGGGCCCCTTCCGTCCCGCTGCTATTTATTAGGACAAAAATTTAGCCCGCGAATGAATTCTCAAATTTTAACGGAAAAATCTTAGGTACGGCACCCAAAAAAATATTTACAGACAATTTTAATGAAAGAAAAATGTGTTTCTTTTAGACTAAAGATCAACAAAAATCATATAATTATAATGTTATAAGAGATTATTTTAAAAATTATGATCTAACTATAAATTATTTTTAAAATTTTAAATTAAGGATAAAATTAGAAGTATTTATTATTTTAGAATGATTAAACTTTAAATTTAGATTCTCAACTATTATGTGGATTCTGAATTACTCTTTGAATTAAAAAATTATATTATTTAATTGTAAAATTTTAAAATTTATCTCAAAATTAGTCTTTCTATTGAAAAACAACTCAAAATTCTCGTTATTAGTGTGATACACAGCCATTAAATAATAGCCTTTTATTGTCAAACAACAGATATGGTAGTTGTTTTTTAATGAAGAAAGTAATTTAGAGCAAATTTTGAAAACTTTAAAAATTAAATTAAAGATTTTTTTAATTTAAAAACTAATTAAAGTGTCCATATAATAATTGAGAAATTAAATTAGGGATTTAACATTTTGGAACAAAAGAAGTAATAAATAAATTTATTAATATTTATGAATAAATAAAATCAAATACTAAATTAAATCAAAAGAAATATAAACAACTCATTCCAACCTAGTGCCATGGACCCTGAGTTAAGAGTTGTTTACTTTCAATGGGTGACGAATTCATCCTCTTTCGTTTTTCCCCGTTTAATTCATATAAATAATTTCAATTTATTCAAAAAAAAATTCGAAAGGAATATAAACAAATGATTTGTAAATACTATTGGTCTAATTAATTAAACTCTTCGTTACCACCAATATTTATTTGTTAATATACTGCTTAGGGGTCGGCGTTTCCCCACCCTATTCTGCAACCAAATTGCTCTATTGAATTCGCAAGTGGTGACACGATGGGTTGACGACATGGTAAGTAATGGCATTTAGCAGGATAATGACAAAGATAAAATTATTATATGAAATTGGATTTCTCTTCTCGGTATCAATATTTCTTTGTTCTGTGGCAAGAATTATGCATAGCAATGAACTTGCTGCTCTGTTTCAAATGGCTGCTGCCTTGTTGGGCCCTAAAAAAATTCTGAGTTTCCATGTTGTAACTGTGGATGCATGTTTTATTTCTTATCTTGATATATAAGAGATAAAACTTATGGTTAAATATGAACAATTCAATTTCCAATGATTTCATCTACTTTGATTTGATGGAGAAAATAAGATCAAATAAGTGAAATCAATTTGGATTTGTTCTTTGGATAGGCTTTAATTAATTAATCAAGAAAATTCAATGCTAGTAATCACCAAATTGAAATCACTTTGAATTTGTTTCTCTTAATTTTTTTTCTTTATTCTTCCCCATCCTCCACATTTCCCTTTGTTAGAAAAAAAAAAAATGGGACATTGATTCAGTGTTTCCCCAGCTCTGATATTGTTTGATTGTATGATGCCTTTGTTTGTATACTAATAGGTGTCCCTTATTTATCAAAGGTTTAATACCCAATTTGATCCCTAAACTTTCATTTCGAAACTTAGTTCATCCTTTAACTTCAGAAGGGACTCAAACCATCCTTAAACTTTATTTTTTTAGAACCAAAATGGTCCTTCCGTCACATAAGTGTCTAGCTGGCACGTTAACTTGCCAAGAATTAATACTTTTATTTCAAAAAAAATTACGTGGAAAAGAAAATTATGATTTAATCATTTTAATAAATTTAATAGAAAAAATATACAATTAAAATATTAACCCTCCCCTTATCTTCAAACCCCATCTTTCCCTGCCATTTTTGTTATTTCCTTGTTCTCCAGCACCGACATCAACACCAATCCAGCGGCATCATTCTTTCCCTTTCTCATTTTTCTCTCTACTCTCCACCCTCCTCTTTCTTCCTTCCTCATTTCCCTTTTCTTTCCCCTTTTTTTTTCTTTTTCTTTTTCCTTTTCTTTTCTAGTTGGGGTTTAGAACCCACATTGGGATTGGGGTGAAGAAGATAAGAGAAAATGCTGAGAACAACACTCCAGTTGCACTGTCTTCTTCTTTGATGCGTTGTCTTTCAGTTTGCAAACCTTCAATGCGGTCGCCGTCTCCGAACTTCTCTTCTATTCTCATCAATGGCGACGATACCAATGCCTCCAACAGTAACAATCCTTCTCGAAGACTCACTCTCTTTCAACTTGGCACCAGTGAGCGATTTTTTTGTGGCTTTATATACTTAAATCCTTTGATAGAAAAGTAGATTTTGTTTTTTACCTGAGGATTGCGATGGAAATTTGTGTTTGGTTGCTAAGAAACTGTGGAAACTAGAAAGGAAAACAAACTTATTAGTAGTATGCCCTAGGTTGGCTTAATTCCTCAATATTTTTGCTGCATTTTTGTTTGAAGTTGTGGAGTTGATGCAGTGAAAATGGAGTCGAATCGGCGCTTCTATCAATTGAGATCTTAGCCGATTTTAGCTTTTTTTGTCCCTTTGCAATGAGTATAGCAGCTTGCAAAGGAGTTATTCTCCTGATTTGGTTGAATCCCCAACTTATAAAACCAAACGATTCTAGAATTCATTTATGTAATTATTTTATGCGGGTGCCGGATTCGGCTTTAAACGATCTTAACGAAGATATTCGTGGCGAAGAAAGAGGCGCGCGGCCGAGACTCGAGCAGACAGATCGTTGATGAAAGCATGATCGTTCTTCGGAAGAGGATTCATGAGATGAAGATGATCGAGAGGAACTACGAGCTACCTGCAGACTGGATGGATTGGGAGAAACGTGTCTATACGAGCTACGATTCGATGATTTGCGAGATCATGGGAGTGTTGTAGTCACAATTGATGAACACTCGCCCCAGTGTCACGTTGGGGATGATGGTCCTGATTGCGCTCAGCTTGTCGATCTCTACCACCGTGGTTTTCTCTCAATTGACGGAGATGGCTAAGGGGATTTTGGCTACTGGCATTGATGCTGTATTTCGAGAAATTGAAATTACAAAATCATCATTTTTTTTCCACATAATTTTTCTAAAATAAAAGTATTAATTCGTGGCAAGTTAACGGGCCAGCTGGGCACTTCTGTGACAGAAGGACTATTTGGGTTCTAAAAAAATAAAGTTTAAGGATGGTTTGGGTCTCTTTGAAGTTAAAGAATGAACTAAGTTTCGAAATGAAAGTTTAGGGATCAAATTGGGTATTAAACCTTTATCAAAATATATCTATTTTTCTATTTTTTATTTTTATTGTAATGAGTTTTTTTTTTTTTTTTTGTATGTTTAATTTGCCATTACTTAGTTTTATTAGATATTTAAAATTTTAAAGAATATAGTTGAAAATTTTGCTTTAAATTTGAGGGTATATGACAGAACGGTAACGGACCAGTAAAAAAAAATTATGTTGACAAGGTTCTAATTCCTTAAAATTAGAGTTGAGACAATATTAGCAACACAACAATGATCAATTGCTGCAAGTCCTCCAGAATCAAGAAAAAGCACGACAGGGTACCATGCCCACTTCCCACAACAATTTATTTGAGATTTTGTATAAATAAAAATATAATTTTTTTAAATTGATAATAGATTTTTTTTTCACTATTTAAGACTATCACCTTTTAAATAGTTTTTAATCAAGTATATAATTTTTTTATTTTATTAATTAAGACTACAACCTTTAAAAAGTTTCTAATAAGAAATAACTGTTTATTTCTACTTAATTCCTCTATAGTAAAATTAAAAAAGTAATATTTTAAATTAAAGAAATAATATTCTTGATTAAAAATTTTTGAAAGGCAAGTAGTCTTGATTAGTAAGAGAAAAAAAAAATCATATTCTTAAGGATTTTTTTTGGCAATTTAAGGTGCTAACAATCAGTTCCGTCAATGGAAGGACAAAATTAGTATCAAAATTTAATAAAAATTAAAAAATAGTATTTTTTAAAGTTTAAGAATAATTTTAATATAAATTTAAAAATTGAGAGACTCAAATGGTATTTTAAACCAAAGTAGTCAATATCATACCGATATATATATCGGTTTTGTTACTGAAATGATACGTACCGAGTATTGAAATTTTTCGCATACTATTTTGAATTTATCACTATAAATATATAAATATATATTTTTATAAATTAAATATCAAATTTTAAAATAATTATATAAAAAAAACTAATATAATTAAGGACAACATTTGAGAAAACCTTTTAAGTTGGTATAATCCTTTCTTTCTTCAACCATTAACTTAAACTAATATAGCAGTTGGACTGGACTACCCGACCACTGGTGAAACTAGAAAATGAAAACTGCAATATAAAATTGTAGAAATTACAAAAATTGCAGAAATTCAATCTAAAATTACAAGCCCCTAGCCCACAAATCAATCTCCAAGTCCAAGATCTAGGGCGCCTGATTTGTAAAACAGGAAGGAGGAGGAGGAGCAGTTGCAGGGTCGGATCGGAGGATGGCAAGGCTATGCGATGGGCGATTTGAAATTGCAGATTTGCAGGGATTAAAAGCCCTTTAGCCAAAACGACGTTGTTTTGGGTTAAGAAATCCTTTTCTTTTCTTTTTATTCCGGCATAATGTGTACCGGTCAATACATTAAATTTTGATTAGTACATCAAATTTTGATTGAAATGATTAAATTTTAATCAAAACAAAAATTAATATTATACTGTTTCGACCTGTTTAG